CGATGTCGTTTTGACATTTTCAAACCATTTGAGTCACAGAATTTGTGGCCACCAATCATTGCCGATAAAAAATTCATGGTAGAAAGCAAAATTTCAGCAGGGTCAATTGACACCTGTATTGGGGGTTTACGTGCAAATCTAAAGTTGGAGAAGCTTACAAATAGAAAACCCATTATGAAATGTTCTGTATTTTTCTGGAATTTGTTTCATTGTGAATAGAAGAGGCAACATTTGCCTCTTTTTTTTTTTTATAATTACAATTCAATGGTGTTTTCATAAATTAATTAAAAAATTTAATTATTAATATTCATAAATTTAATTTACCAGTAATTTAAAATCTTAAAATTAAACTATTATGTGGTGAAACACAAATCTTAAATAAATTTAGATTATACATTGAATATTCTGTATATATATTTTTCTACAAATTGTGTGTCCAGCTCATTTTTTTCAGCTGCTTATCATTCCCCAAGAGATTTAATGGGTTAAAATAAGAAAAAATAACAAATGAGTGGTACTTTAAAAAAAACAATTACAAATTCATAATAAACTTTACATACTTTAATGATTAAAATCATAAATTTTTTCATAATAATTAATAAATTTCCCTTAAAATAAGGCCCATCTCTTTTGCTGATAAGGAAAATTAGTAGTAAAGACTGAAAATCATTAATCATCTATACCAAAACCATGATCTCAAAATTTTCAAACCTCGAAATTAAGATGAGAGAAGAATTTAAAGAAATAAATATCTTTAACACCAAGGCCTCGTTTGGAAATAAATTTTTTTAATAACTTATTTATTTTTTTAGTTAAAATATGAATTAAAAAAAATTATATTTGAAATGATTTTAATTTTTTATAAAAAAATTTGCAAAAGTATAGAGAAAAGAAAATCTTTGACTTTTTGATATAAATTGTTAATTTTCTAATTTTTTTTGTGATTTTTTTACTTTTACGCTAAAAATATTGAGTTGGTAAACAAAACATTACTAGTCGTTATAATTTTTTTAAAACTTTTAAAATCATTAATCATGGATATATATATATATTTCATTCATGAAATGGATAGCCAAGACTATAATATAACTAAAGAAAGAATTAAGCTAATAAAGAAATAGAAACAAATAAATAACACTCAGATTCTATATCAAGGAAAAAAAAAAAGAAAAAAAAAGAAAAGAAGATCAGATATAAAACAGAGACTAGTTTTCATAGTATTAAAAAACTTCATCTGCATGCATTAAATTACATACTCAAATGAAATCTACTATCCGACTAACACATAAATTGCATATATAATTCCCGGAATGTACCCCAACAATGTCAGCAACAAATCGATCCAAAACTCAACCTGCAAAAATTCAAATTCAACCAACAAAAATCAAAACCCAACAATAACCAAAACCCATCACAATCTATAAAGACAAGAAAAAGTCTAAAAACACGAAACCGATCACAGAATTGGACAAAACTCTCTTACATGAAATGGGTGTGGATTAATTGTATCCAATTTTATAATAAGTTGAAAGAGATAATTAAGTAAAAATAAGAGAGGATTGATTGATTACTCCACAGCCATAGCGAAGGAAGACACCAACAGGAGGTAGCAGAATTGCTAGTATGACTTCAAGAAATGTCTCTGAGCCCATGGTTGATTTGTGGGTTTTGAAGTTTAGGAACAGAGAGAGATGATGTAGAACTGTTGAGGAGAGGGAGGGGGAGAGAGAGAGAGAGAGAGAAGATGGGGATGGAGGAGAAGTGCCAACTAGTATTAAGGAGCTGAAGAGTTGAGAGGTCGCCACGTGGTGGGAATGTAGGACACGTGGAGCGGTGTCCTGTTGACTCGTATTGTACACATTACAATTTCTTCATAATTATAAAAATTAATTTATTATTGTTTAGTGGTGTCGTACACATTACAGTACTTGCCGAAGGTTGGAGGCTCGAATCCTTCTACCATCAAAAGTAGGGTTGGGCATAGGATCTCTGACCCGCTCAAACTGTTCCACTCGATTCGAATTGTGCATGTATGGACGGTTTCGCAAACACATTAGGGTAAGGTACGGTTTGAATTTTATCTAATTTACGGGTTGCAGGTTTGAACCGATCGACCCTCTCTCGTCGCAAGATCGACCGATCAATCGATCGATCTACCTCATCGCAACGATCGACCTCGCAAGTACTCTCTCAGTTTCAGTCTCAGTCTCTCTCTCCCCGATCTTTGATTTTTTTTTTCCAACATATCGGTTCTCTCTCTCTCTCTGATCTATCTCTCTCACTCTCCCATCTCATCAGTCTCTCACTCTTGGGTTTTGCATCTGCACCAATCGGCTCTCTCTCTTTACAAGATCGACCAAGCGACTGACTCTCTCATCGTACTAATCGACTTCACAAATAAGTCTCTCTCTCTCTCCCCGATCTTAGATTTATTTTGCAACATATCAATCAGACCTCTCTCTCTGATCTGTCTCCTTCACTCTTTTATCTCATCAGATCTGTTATTTATTTATTTATTTTGTAGCAACAAATCTGTCTGTGAGAAGTGGAAATTGAATGTATGTGTTTGTTTGGAATTAAATCTTTTTTTTTTTTTTTTTGTAGCTATAAATCTGTGAAAAAAGTGGAGATTGAATCTATGTTTATGTGCAAACAGATTTGTCTTTTTTTTTTTTTTTCTCTGGGAATTGAATCTGTGAGGAGTGGAAATTGAATTTGTGCTTTTGGAATTGAATCTGTGATTATGTTGAATCCGTATAGAAATTGGAATCTGTATAGAAATTGGCATTGGAATCTGTTGAATCTATATAGAAATTGGAATCTGTATAGAAATTGGAATTAAATCTGCTAAAGAAATTGGAATCTTTATAGAAATTAGAATTGGAATCTGTTGAATCTGTATGGAAATTGGAATCTGTATAGAAATTGGAATTGAATCTATTGAATTTGTATAGAAATTGGAATTGAATTTGTTGAATGTGTATAGAAATTGAAATCTCCATTGAATTGTATCTAATAAATTTTTGTAAAAAAATCTAATCCGCAAACAGCCCGCAATCGCCCGCACATCTGCGAACCCTATCCACACAAACCGTGAACAGCATTGCGGGCGGTTACTTTTCCCCAAGCCGCATAGATGTAGGCGGGTCCAAACCGAACCGCAAACCATCCCAAACCGAACCGCGAACACCCCTAATCAAAAGTGTTTTGGAATATTGCTTTCAACCCAATGGTTCAATAGACAGGCTGCTTAAGCGGTCCAAATTGAACTTTCAATACAAACAGCTGCGTGGGGTAACTTGGACAGGAAACTAAGCCGGTCAACTGGTCAAATTAGCCGGTCCAATCCGATTTTCAAAACCATAGATAGATATTATATTAAAAATATAAATATTAGTGGTCAAAGTCATTAATATTAACATTGTGTTGATGAATAAAATTGAAAATATATAATAAAAATCGGTAAACCTAATAACATTATAATTTTTAAAAATAGATCACCAACTGCTCAAATTTATTATTTTGTTATATTTTTCACTTTAATTTTTTTTTTTCCCTCCAAAATTTTAGACAAAACCTTGGAGTCCAACATAATAAACAAAGCAAAAATAAATAAATTTGACAGTAGAGCAATCCCAAATGCTTCTTTTTTTTTTTTTCGTGATGGGGTCCAACATTTCGATTGGAACACCCAGAAATGTCAAATACTTTGAGTTGTTATGTAGAATTTAGCATGTTTTTTAGAATTGACTTTATTCAATAATTTTTTGAGATGTCAAATACTTGTCATGTAAATTTTGACTCTTTTTTTTTAATTTTTATTTTATAATTCTACTCAATTTGATGGACTGAAAAAATTAAAATTTTATAATAAAAAAAATATGAATGGTTAAAATTTATACATTAAAAAAAATATAAATTAATTTTTTCCCCATTTCCTTCTCTTTCCTTTTGTAAATTTATATTCAAATTGATAATCCAAGCTCACCGTAAGGTATAGTGTTATACCTGTGTAGAAAAAATATCTTGTTCCTTATAGCAAAAGTAGTGTAGAAAAAAATTTATTAAATGTAAAATTTAAAATTTCTTACATGAAAGAGAAATTATCCTGCTTTTCAAAACATCATGTTGATTGTAAGTTCGTCAATAATAAACTAAAAACACTGCTTGGTTATCATTTTTTAAAAACATTTTCAAAAAATTTTACTTTTTTATTTTTCGTGTTTTTTTTATTTTTATTGAATTTTTTTAAGAGTTTGAGCAATTTTTAAAATTTTTAGACATACCGAACATAAATATACTTAAAAAGTAAAAAAAAAATTGAAAAAACCTTTTAAAAATTTACTAAATACCAAGAATATAAAAATAAATAAAAATTCAGTACATTTTTTATATTTTTATGTATTTATTAATTTTTAAAAATATTTTTTTATAAATTTTTTACTTTTTAGATACATCAAAATAAGGTGCATCTAAAAAAATAAAAAAAAAAGTTTAAAATTTTAAAAATATTCACTAAAAACAAAAAAATACGAAAACCAAAAAACTCAAACCAAACACACTGATTAATCACGCACAATTAAGGGATTTTTTGAGATGATCTAAATAAATGCACTTTTTAACTTTTTGTGAAATATGTGTTGAGTTTGGGTTGGGTTTGAAATGATATGTTAGAGAGGTGATGTGACTTAAATAAGATGATGTGACTTAAAGAGAATAGTGACTTTTTGACTTTTTGTCTTTTTCAAGACATGCCAAACTTGGCCTAAACATCATTCATGCATAAACTTGAATTTTATTTTCTCAATCAAAAACCTAGAAATGAGGACTATTATCCAGCCCCAGCCCACAAACATGGAATTAAAAGCAGTCTTTTAAAAAAAAAAAAAAAAAAGTATTGCAATCCATTATTCTCCAGTATTTCAGTTAAGTGTAGTTCCACATCCAGTCACAAATGTTTTCTTTTCCAAGCAATAGCAAGAAATTTGAAGAATTGATCATAAATGGAAACCTCTACAAATAATGGCACGAACAAATGTTCCATACAGGTACAGCTTACAAGCTAATACTTCCAACCAGAAAGAATGGGCATATCACAAGGCAAAACTCATATCATTAACATCCATACTCGACATAACTTTACGAATCTGAATGGCAAACGCTACGAATCCTCGCCTGAAGGACAGAAGCATAATCCTCTTTCATGGTACCAACACACAGAGAAATACCATTCATTTGACGCATATAACTATGATCTATAAGCAACAAAAAATAGGAATCATGGTTCTGTAATCAATAAGAACCTCAACAGTCATCATGATATAAATTTCGAGGGTTGGCCAGTAAACAACAATAACATCACACTAAGCGAAGAATGTGAGTAGAGTATGACATCATGCATCTAGTTAAAATACAAAACCTATGGAGTAACAAACAGAGAAATTTAGAAATTTTAGATAACCAGATATATTGGAGTCCGGTTACCTTCTTCAGAAACCCGTTTGGCAAAGGATGTTGGCACTGTTTTCATTATTCAGCATTCTATCCAACCCCTGTAAACCACAGTACAAACCAATCATTAGAAAGACATTATATCAGATATAAAAATCAAGCAACAACAAAAAGAAATAGTTTATAAACAAATTTGGCGCATTATAAAAAGATGGCAACAAGACCACAAGAAACTTAGGTAGTTTAGCTCCCTGTTATTTTTCTGACACATCTACAAGATGTAGTGGACAAAGATGAGTCCAAGCAAAGTCTTTCTCCATATCTTCTTTGTCACGGATATCACAATGCTCCATTTTATTTGGAAAAAGTACAAGGTCGGTCAATTTTTAACCTTGGAAGATTCAACTCCAGACTCCAGGATTGAATCCTTTGAATTTAAATAAACATCAGAGCAACCATAAACATTAATCTTGTAAAGGAAGGACCAAAATGCAGAGGACCAATGTGGTAGAGCAACCATGTAAGCCTCTCAAACCTGACCTCCCAACCTCCACCCCCCAGTCAGAGCCAAAAAGGAAAAAAAAATAAAGGGAAAAAATAAAAAGAAAAACAACCCAGCTGCATAATGAACTCCAACCCAGCAGCCCCACAATCTAATCCCTGAATTCTGTATCCCAGGACTATTAGTCCTACCTGTGCTGTAATCTCATGTAATCTTATCCAACAAACAAACGTGGCCTTGATATAATTAAAATCCCTACCTTCCTCTCCCTTATCCTATCATTTTTATATATATCTTTCTCTAAATCTTTTGTATTCATGGACACTTTAAAAAAAGGTGGCGTGTCCGTGTCGGTCACCGACACTCGTCGGACAATTTCCTGACACGCGTCAGACGCTCATCTAAATGTGTCCTATTTTTTTAAAAAAGAACTTAAATTCGGACACTTGGAGAACACACATGTCCATTGCTTCAACACACGTGTCCATTTATTAGACACACACAAAGCTAATTATAAGTTTGAACAAAATAATTTAAAATACGATGATAAAAGAAAAATAATGTCAATTTATAGATATTAGTGTTATATTGCATTTATTTATTGTCTTAGAATGATATATTCATATATATGACATATAATAAACAAAAAAGATTATATACTTTATAAATGTCTCCCATGCATCGTGTCCTACATTATTTTAGCTTCAATTTTAGATAATTACACCTTAATGGCTAAAAGGTTTTGAAAAGCATTATGGAATTAAGATTTCCAAGGTTTAGCCATGGCTTAGCTCAGGACACCACTGCTTGTCATATTTGGTTTGGTATTGCCAACGCACCTGACTTTGAGAGTCATGCTGATATTACTGAGGAACGCCTTTATCAGAATATTTTGGCTTTTCACATTGGGCAGTTAGTACTAATCTATTTCATAGAGCTTGGAAAGAAAATTTTTAAATTTTCCATCATCCCTTAATGTGAAGCTTATGATGGGTCCTTTATTTTTCCGAGCATGATGGGTCATTTTTAAACCAACTGATCTCTAAACCTCTTCATTCCACCATGAGATTTCAGTAGATGATGGCCTGCTAGTTGCTACACATTCTCCAAGGACCTTTCTTGCTCTTCTTGACATATTTTCATTGCTTCGGTTTTTTTCATTTAAATTGTTAAAATCCACCTACTCTCCACCTACTTCAACCACTTAAACCTACTCCACTAAACCTAACCCACTACACCACTACCACCTCACCTACTCCACTAAACCTAACCCACTACACCACTACCACCTCCACTTCACCTACTCCTTACCTACTACACACTCACCCTCTTCTATATATAGGAATCATGAATCATTGTAATACAACATATCAACAAATCAATCAATAATACATACAATTTATTCTCTATCTATCAATTTATTTCTTACATAAATTTCATTTCCTTCATTCGATAATTTATTCTTGAAAAGCACCTAAATTTCACCTTTTAACTTCCACTACCCAATTCTTGAATGTCTATTTCTTTTGTCCTATGTTTTAATACATTTAGAACCATTTATCTGAGTTGTGTAACCAGAGTCTCTCCAACTAATACTGTACAATTCTGTCATGGTTTTTTATTTTCTTTTTCTTTTTTGGTTCATGATGGTGTCTGGGGCTTCACCCCAACTAATCCCCCAGGTACATGTAGTCTCCTACCCCACCAGGTCCCACATATACCAAGTAATTATAGCCTCAAGGGCAGTAGGGAATGGAACATTTACTATTGGTCTACTGCTTGAGGTTTGAACTAATTACCTCCTTTATGAAAGTCATAGACCTGGCCAACTAGGACAACCCAGTTAGTTCATGTTTTCGATCTTACTTTCTATTGATAAACAAATATATTTGCATATTATTTGTTCCACTTTTTGCATAGGAAGTGCAATATGAAATTCATATAACATATGATTTTATGAAAAACGCAAGCTTTAAAAAGATGGTGGACACTCAATTACATTCAATATATTGATTTATTTTTTGATGGATTCCATATTTTACATGTATACAGCTCTTTTACCTTATATAATCATGTATATAAGACCAAAAAGTATAAATGCCAAAATAATTTGCGTGTATAAAAGGATGAAATAATTTTACCAGAACAGTTCCTGAAACAGGGATATCAAGTCGCATCCTCCTGGCCTTGTGATGTTGGAAGGGGCAAGCTTTTGAATGAGATTGACGGTGAATAGCTGAGCTCGTAATTAACTATCGTTTGCCCAAAAATGTTGAATTTTCCAGCACTACTGAAAGCAACTTCTGCATCTGAACACTTCTTAAAAACCACTCTGGCACGACTAGTCTCCAGATCAACTTCAGTTTCGGATTCCTTTAGAGGCCCAAACCGTCTAAATATTTTATTTAGATTCACTTCAGAAGGAATATAATCTCCCTCAGAGAAGTTCAGTATAAGTTCTGTTGGTAAATTTTCTTGCCTTCTCTCTTCAATATACCCCATTGGTTCCTCCATGGCCATTTCATGGTTTCCATTAGAATATCGCTTTCTAGAGTAAGACCTACGGTTTGATTTAACGGGTTTATCTGGATCAAAGGCCATGAGCTGATATTCTCCTTCTCTGTTCTGACCGTCCCCTGATGGTTGCTCTTCAGAATTGTTTTGGATAATCCTGTCCGTCCAGTAGGAGTCATTCACGTCGTCAAATTCAAAATCTTCGGGAGAACCAATAATGCCATGAGATGCTTTTCTCTTTCTACCACCTCCTTGTTTCCCAGTGGCTGAATTCTGCCTCCCAGAATAATGACCCAAACTAATTGAATTTCTAAAACCAGAGAAGAAAGTAATAATGGTAGTCAAGAAGTCACGTCCCTTCCTAGGATCCTCAGCAGCCAAGTGAAGTTGTGATAGCATCTCATCCAAAGATGAGTATTCCATTGGGAGAACCATCCTTCCTCCTTGGGAATTATCAGGAGTCTGCAAATCGAACCCGACAGGTGGCTCACTGCTTCCATCAACCTTTTGAAACTTTCCACTGTTAGATTTCAGAATTAATGGGGACCCAGTCAGTTGGCTTGCTACTCTACGAATGCATTCACCAACCTTAAATGATGGCTTAGGAATTGGAGTTGCAGTAGTAGACACTTTTGCAGCATAAAAGCTAATTCTCTTATCTTGCATCTCTGAGGCATCAGAAATGAAATCAATACCCTTCCGTTTCTTACCGGACATACTTGAATCTTTCCAATCTGACCCATCTTCACCATCTGGAGAAGATGCCTCATCACCTATTAATTCTGACATGCTTCTCTCTTTCTTCCTAGGGTACATATCCTTAAGATTGTGTTTACGCTTATGGGAAGACCTGTTTTCATTTGTTAACCTCCCCTTGCTGGAAAAGATTTGCTCACCATTGGGTGCATGGTCAATCACTTCACCCAACTGTGAACTATCTGCATTATTCTCCAACAACTCTCCACAAAACTGGAATTCAGGCAGCCGACAATAACCCTTTAACCGACTGAAAGCCAACAACTGAGCCTTTGCAACAAGAAGCTCCAGTCGATCAGCCCCAGCAGACGGGGACTGTGCTAATGCTCTTATATACTCTAGAAGATTACCAGGTTTAAAGGAACTCACCCCTGTAGATTTGTCCACACCATATCTTCTACTTGATTCCTCACAGATCCCAGTGTTTTCAACAATCTGAGATTCAATATTGTCATAGGCATCTTTTGGTATGCAAGAGCAAGCCAGCCCCAACTCCACCCGTCTAGAAACCTCTTCCAAGGCACAGCTGACAGCATTTTGGAATGTTTCTGAATTGCTCTGCTTCTCTATTTGGGAGAAATTTGTCCAAAATGGCTTTAAGAGAGATGCTTCATTCCAAGCAAAAGTTCGATCTCCAAAATATGCTACCAGAAAGCTGTCCTTTTTATGATGTTTCATTGCCTTTTCTGATGCATCTACAGGATCAAATATTTGTCCAGGCCACCAGGGATGGCTCCTCACTTTACCCCAGACTAAGTCGGACACAGAAAACTCACCATCACTTTCTGGCGGCAGCAGATAATGCTGTTGGTGCGCTTTTGCAAAGCTTCCAGGCTTCAGAGTTGTTTGTTTTGAGCTTTTATCCTCAACACATTTTGCCTCTTCATGATCAGCAGCTTGTTCTCCAGTTTCTATTTCTTGACCTTCATATGGATCTACCTGCTCGGAATCAGTATATTGTTCTTGAACTTCTACTTCCTGCCCTACACCAGGTGCACTCCCATCTAAGCACTCTGAGAATTCATGTCCCACATTGCCTCCCATTGCTTGAACATCATCTCTCATGAATTGAGACTCATCTGGCAGTGAAGAATTTTCCTGGGCAGAATCATCTTGTGGCTTCCATTCCCCATCTTTGTTGAGATAGTTATCCAAATCTACAACCAGACTTCCCACCATAGATTTGTTCAAGACTTGCCCTTCAGAAACATGTTCATTGGCCTTGTAGAATTCACCTTTTGCTTCAGGATTTACCACTTCATCAGTATTTACTGCACCAGAAACACTAGTAGCAATGGCTTGATTTCCATTTTGTAGAGAAATGTCACTGCTTACCATATGAACTTCCAAATTTTGATGTTCATCTGGCAAGAAGCCCATAGAGTCATTAACAGAAGACGTGACGGGGTCACTCCCATTATGAATAGAAGTGCAGGTAACTGTAGCTTGACATGCAGCAGTACCCTCAACAACTGTGCTTAAAAGTGCTGCAGAACAAACCCCTTCGGTCAAGCTTTCATCAACAATCAGCATATTCATGCTTTGATTCCCATCTACATCTTGAGTCAGTATGTCAGCTTGTGGGGCTACTGTCTCTTGTTTCTCATCTTGCAAGGATGTATTGTCTTCAAGACTATCCGAACATGTTTGAACAGAACTACTACAATCCCCAATTGGAGGAGCATCAACGCATTCAGAAGGTTGTTCTACTGAGGTCTTGCCCAAAGTCTCTTCCTTCAAATCTTCAGCTGTCTCTGACAGAGATATATTCTCATTAAAAGTAGAACAAGGTGGAACATAAACAATGCCCTGACCGTCGGTAACTGAAGATTCCACTGGGTTGTCAATTCTAATCAGCTCACCAGATGTTTCAGCATTTCCCTGTGCAATACCATCTTTTTCAATGCTTCCAGTTACAGTCAGGGTGTTCAACTCTTCATCTTTCTGTAAACATTTATCACCATCGAAAACTTCAATTTTGAAGTTTGAAACTCCTTCACCATCTATCATCATAGCTTCACCTTCAAGCTTGGGGACCTCCTTGCCTATCACCAAAACATCACTCCTATCAGCAATTTGGGTTTGCTCACCAGATGATTCCAGGTCTCTATGTACCACATCACTTTCAACCTTCTTGATCTCCAAGTACTGATCTTTCCCTGAACTGCCATCGAAAGCATCATCTCCTGCCACTTCACCTTCAATATTCAATACCTCTTCAACATCCGTGGCTGCAACTTCCCTTATTTCAGTAACACAAGCTTGTTCGTTTGAGGATTCTGGATCTGCAAGCACATGACCATCTTTTCCAGCAATTTCACACGTCACCTCACACTTCATATTGTGATCATCTTCTGAACAAGCTACAGTCCTATCCATATCATCAGTTGTTGGAATTTCCACTTCAGAATTTGAGACCTTGCTGTCCATCACTGAAACTTCATTGCCATTGACAACATTGGTTTGTTCATAACAAGACTGTGGCTCAGTACATACAGCAGCATCCCTTTCAGAGCCCCCACCCACACTACCGACTTTCAACTCTTCATTTTCTACAAGAGCAAGGTTCTCATCAGAATCAGTGGGCACCCTGTTTTCAGTCGTCAAAGTTTCTGTTCCACCACCAGCCAGGGTTACACTGCTGGAAGTTGAAATCTTGCTGTCATTGACTACCGAATAGTCTGCTGCAACTTGGGATTGTTCTATGTAAGATCCTGAATCTGTACATACAACACCAACTTCTACAGCATCAACTCCAACCCCACCCACATTATTGGGAGCTCCAACATTAGGAGTAAAAGCAACCTTGTCATCAACTGCCGTAACTTCGCTACCAGTAACAGCCATAGTTGGATCAGTGGAGGATACAAAATCAGTATGCAAATCACCTTGATTTTCAGTATTCTCACCAGCTGTCTCAACCTTCATCTCCTGATCCTCTACCAAACAACATAAATTGTCCTTTGGATGCAAAATCTCTTCCTTGTTCATTACCGCAACTTCCCCACCAACATCAACTTCAACTTGTCGATTCAAAGAATCGCCATTTGAATCTTTGTCTCTTCCCACAGAAACTGTTTCAGGCACTGAACTTTGACTGTTTCCCGAACAAGTTAAATTCCCCTCCTTAACACCACCACCTGGAACTTCCTCTGTAACAATTGGTGTTAGCATATTCGAGGATTGTGCAACAGTGGAAGAACATACAGCTGCAGCACCAATTCCAGGATTCCATAATTCATCAACCAAAATGCCACCTCTTTGGGATGGCAAGACATCCGGTGCATCATCCCTTCCCTCAACAGACTTCATATCATTCTCCAGTCCCTCCTCAACCAATCCTCTATCCAAACTCTCCTCGGTAGCCGTGGCCATAACTTTCTCCGCAAGAACTTCACTTTGTTCACAAGATGAAACTGCTAAAGAACCTCCCAACCTAGTCTCAGTTCCAGAATTCTGAGCTTCATCATGCATAATACTGGCTCTGTTAGAATCTAAAACACCACTGGCATCACCCCCTCTGCCATCCAACTGCTCACCTCTCTCAATACCCTCCTCATTCACCCCCAAGGGAACTTCCTCAGCAGCAACTTGGGTTTGTCGATCCGATGAGCTTGCAATTTCCTGGAAACCTTCAATCCGAGTTTCAATTCTAGCTTCCAAGACTTCACCACCCAAAGCCCCAACTTCCTGCAATGCTAAACCACCGATTTCACCACCCTCGCCGTCAACAGATTCCAGTTCCCTCTCCACACCCTCATCAACCGACCCTCTCTCCAAACTCTCCTCAGTAGCCGTAGCCACGGCTCTCTCCGCAACAACTTCACTTTGTTCACATGATGATCTTGAAATTGTTAAGGAACCTCCCAACCCAGTCTCAATTCCATCATTCTGAGCTTCATCATGCAAATTTTCAGCTCTGTGAGAATCTGAAACAACACTGGCATCACCCCCTCTGCCACCCAAGCCCTCATTCACTGTGGGGTCAACTTTCTCCGCATCAACATGGGTTTGCTCATCCAATAAGCCTGCAACTTCCTCGACACCTTCAATCCGAGTGTCAGTTCTAGATTCCACTACTTGACCACCCAAAGCCCCAACTTCCTCAGATGCTAAACTACTGATTACACTGCTCTCACCGGCAGCAGATTCAATTTCCCTCTCCAACCCATCTTTCACCAACTCACCAGCACCCTCCTCCTCCCCATTCCAATCCCCTCCAGTCCCCTCACCACCAACCCCATCAACAAACACATCAGAGCCCACCACCTCCACCATTATCTCCCCTCCATCATCTTCCCCACCCAAAGACCCCTCGATCCGATCCTCAACACCCAAATTCTCCATTAGGGTTTCATCAGCAGCTACAGCCCGATCAACAACGACAGTCTCATCATCATGCTCACCCATAGTTAAAGAATCTGATTAATTTCAACTCTCAATCAATACCCACTTCATTTGCACACACAAAAAACACATACAGATCGATATAAAACCCTAATAAACACAACCCAATTACTCAAAAGAACTATAAATCAAACAAAACAAAACAAAACAAAACAAAAAAAAACCTAAATTGTACTTTTTTATAGAGAGAGAAACAGATCAAAAAGAGTTGGGCTTTTTTTGACGTACCTTAATTGAGAGAATCTTAGAGAAATGAAAGCAGAGTGAGAGAGTGTTTTACGAGTCTTTTTGTGATGTGTCGAACAGAGTTGATGTCATATGCGCCTCTGTTCTGAACGATGAGAGAGAAAGAGAGAAAAGAAAAGAAAAGAAAAGAAAATAACAGACGAAAATTATGGGTTCTTGTCCTTTTCGGTGATTCGCCAGCTCTTCACTTGCTTGGGGAAATTATTGAGGTGACTTTGTGGGTTGTATTTGGGATTCTAACTGCCCTATAAGATAATTTCATATTTTTTAGGTTATTTGAGTATTTTTTTTTCATTGGTGCTTCATAATCATGTTTTACTGGTTGTTTGTCCATTGATAGTTTGTAAATTTTGAGAGTTATCACTTGCCAACAAACTAAAATCCAAACAAAAAGAAAAGAAATGTTTTTTAAGATACATGACAATTGTAAGGACCTTCTTTCCAAATGATACTAATCTACTTGTTAAACTTGTCTACTGAAATTTTATATTTGTAATCTTACATTTAATTAATAAGGTAAATTATACTTCGCACCATTAGATTTTAGTTTAAATTTTACTTTCACCTCTACATATAAAATTATAGTAGTCAATCTTCTGTACTTTTAATCAAATCTCACTTTGATCTCATGAAATTGTGACAGTCAACCCTCTGTATTTTTTATCAAATTTCACTTTGATCCCTACACAAGTTTCAATTTCCTATTTTTGTTGCTCAATTGTTTAAATCTTTAATAGAATCTAATCATGTGACAAAAATGTAACTACGATATGAGAGTAAGAGGGAAAAATCATCTATATTTTCCACCAATATATACTATGTCCCAAAATTTACATCAAATTGTGACTGTATTAGACTAAAACAAAACGAAGATTGTGAATAATTAAGAAGATTAAATAGGGTTTTGCATAAATTAGAATCACGAAACTCTGTTTTTCACAATAACACAATCTTTTGTCTATTCATCTTGATTTCTCTTTAATTTCTTTGTCTCATTTTTTTTTATTATTTCAAATGCTCTTATTTTCTTGCTTTTTCATCCTAATTTTCAGCATACGATTATATATATATATATATATATTATAACTCTCACATGCTTATCACGTAGAACAAAGTGTATTGGTGAAAAACATTGATGATTTTCCTCTCTTACCCTCATTTCGTAGTCACATTTTTGTCACATGTTTGGATTTTATTAAAGATTTAAAAATGAAGTAACAGAAAAGAGATATTGATACTTGTGTATGAATCAAAGTAGGATTTGAGCAAAAGTGCAAGGTGTGAGAACTCGCATTTAATTATTCTTAAAAGAAAATAAATGAATAAATAAATTAATTAATTAATTTTACCCAGATTCTATCTAAAATATATATTAGTGTATGAGTTAGTTTTAAATTAATCCAATTAAATCACTAACAAAGACATTATTAAGAATAATAATTTTGTGGGTATTCAATAGTTATTGTTTATAAATTATTTCAATTGGGATTCAACGTGATAATTATCTTTACTAAATAACTTAGTTAAAAATCTTAGTGTGTTAATTTTAATAAACCCCCAAAAAAAAATTTAAAATTTCAAATTTTCTGTGGCAGAGAATGCCACTTGCTTATTTACATGTCAATATAAGGAAGAAGACTTCATTATGCTTCTTGGATTTGAGAAAGATGAATAGACTTGAGCAAATGATGTGTGTGAGAGAGAGAGAGAGAGAGAGAGGGGCTCAGCAAGCATCGTATATATATGCATGCTTGAGAGAAAGAGAGAGAGGGGGGCTTGGCAAGCATTGTATATATATATATATATATATGCATGCTTGCATTCGGTTGAGAAAAAGAAGAAAAAGAAATATGTCAAGCAGCTAAGCTGAGTAAGAGAAGAAGAAGAGTAGGAGATTAAGGAAGCCAAAATTTTCTACTATTTCATCATCCTATTATTAAGTAAAAAAACTCTCTTAGCCCTCTCATTTTTTTTTTATTTTTGAAATTTTCGAATCGTATTTATATGATAAAATGACTAAACTCGTAGTATCAAATATTTGAAGATATTGGTAGTCTTAAAATCATGGTATTATTGTGAAAATAGGCTTGCATGTGTAATTTATACCATTAAAGAGGGAATTGAAGATTTTATTTGACCCTTAAATCTGCCAAACAGTTGTACAAATTTTTAGATAATTTTATACTCAAAATTTGGAGATCATTTCTTCTACAAACTTGTTGAGAATGATATCTAGTTCATCCACAAGTTTTGCAACAATTATTGAGTTTTGTACGAATTTATGTAAATTTTTAACAAAATCTGAAACTGTAAGGCAGATTTTACTCTATGTTGGAAAAATCATTTAAAAATTCTATATTAAACCAAATCTGGTAATTTTTAAATAAAAATTGAAATTTGAGAAGTCAAGTTTCATAATAAATTTTCAGATTATGGAATTGATTTATAAATTAAAGTATGGAATTGATTTAAGAAAATGTAATAAATCTGTGTCATAAACTTTCTTGAAATTTTTCAGAATTATTTACAATTTATTTTTAGAAAATTCTTTCTGAAAAATGACTATAACATGTTTATTGAGTATTCTATATATTTATATGAATTTTAGAGTTGTATAAGTAATTTATTTATAATTTTAATTATGAGATATACATTCTGAAAAAAATTATGGCAGATTGAAGAGGAATAAAAAATTATTTCTTAAATTTTTTATTTGGACTAAAATCTAATATTTTCCTAGTCTAATCTTATAAATTAAAAATCCATGCATGTGTGTGATTATGATTTATTTATTTTGTATTTACATTATTATTTCATACCATGGTTTAAATTAATTGTTTATTTAAATTTTGTACATTGATTTATTAATGTGTGACATGTGCAATATTTTATGTTGGAAATTTTAATGAGTTGGTATAACATTATTGGTAATTGAAATTTGAATTATTTGTGATTAGTATAAAAACTAATTGAAATGATTAACGGTATATATAAAGTTAACGATCGAGGGTTAATACCAGTAGTTCAGGGTGAGCCCTAGTTTTTAATAATTTTTATATAATTGTGTTGCGAAACCCTAAGATGGCACGAGACTTATTTGAACCCTTTTTGATATTCGATTTTGGAATAAGGGTGGATGTGCGGGTAGGACGCAGGGAGATTACATACCCCTGGTAGACTGTTCCCTTAGGGCAGACCACGGATGCCACGACTTGGGTATATAACTTTGGGTGTGGGCATCTTTGGTAGTTCTTGAATAATTGACCAAGGGGGGATTTCCAAATTAACTGTGACCATGGCTTAGTGGTTGGTAAGAAAATCTCTTTGGTGAGATTTTGAGTGTTATTTAAACTAATAAAATTGTTGAAATTATTTTAAATTGTTGTTATATTATCATACTATTAATTCTCTCATTTTCTCTTAATTGTCATAATTATTACCTGATTACTTTCTCTTAAAAAGAATGGTATCTTGGTTATGTATTCTTATTGTGTTGCAAAACTCATGGCATATATTTTGTTATCTTGGTGTTTTATGCCAGATTATGACGAGGAAGGAACTGAAACTGAAATTGAGGTCGCTGCTAATATAAAACAGTGGCTAACTTGAAATCAAGAATTTAGTAAAATAAAATTTTATTATCTTTTTTTATTAGTAATTACGAATGTTATAAAGTTGTTGTAATATTGTATGCGGACTCGTAATTTTGTTTTGTTGTTAAGCTTTGACTATGTGAGAATTTAAATTTCTCTAATTAGTTGTTAAAATTTTTATTTAGCAAGTTATTTGTTATTTAAATTTTATGATGTTCCAAAAAAAGAAATTGGCGCGTCACAGTTTGGTATCAGAGTCTAGAATCGAACCTTTGGGCCATGAGTAGCAATTTATTATTATTATTTTTTTACGTTTAAGAAAACCTTATGTTAATTTGTAATTTTCAGTGACTTAACTAAGTTAGAACCTTTTATTATAGGATGCCAGGGTCATCAGATATTAATTCTAATGAGGAAAGTTCGGTGGGAAACTATGACATAGAACCTGACCCAAGTGAAGAAGTGGAGTCGCCTGTAGAAGACTATGAGCCTGAGTTTGACCTTGAAGAAATTGCACTAATAGAAGACTATGAGCCTGAACCTGAACTTGAACTCGAAGAGATTGAACCAATGTACAACCCACTGAAGATAATTGTGATTGAGTCTGACACCGAAGAGGAATCTGTAAAGGGCAATACTGATGAGAGCACTGGAGAAATATGGGCCGTGTTTGAGAATTGGGAAGTTCGAAATGGGCTGCAAATTGGCTCATTTGCATATGTTAGAATTTATCCCCTAGGAGGTTGTGCTTGGAAATCTGAGAGTTGGGTAGGTGCCTACATAGGACCCGTTCAAATTTTAAGGCAAGAGACTTCCTGTTTATATCAGCTAGGCCCTTTCCTGAATGACTTCACCGATAGGATGGGCAACCTCTTTGACATTTGGAGCCTTCAGTATATCATACCCGACATAAACAGAATTGTGAAGAGAGACGGGTCAGTGGACTTCAAAGACTGGAGGATCTATCGGGAGGAGCCGGTGTAGCTGTTAGGACATTGTGTGCAGGAAACTGTTGTCTTCGTGAGGGTGCTGTGGTGATTCATGGGACTTTTACAAGCCACGTAGGAACCGAAGGTCCTTGTGAGGAGAGACTTTCCTTGGCTGTTTTAGAGGTTTTAAGGAAATTACAAACTAGGCTAACCAATTGTTTTGTATGCTTACTATGTAAAATTGCCTAGTTTAGAATTGTTGGTGTAGGAGTTAACCTGGATTTGTAGGGGCTATCTTTTGCCCATAGTATTTTATTTTTGTTTTATTTGTATTTTGCTGATTGTAGCTTGCTTAATCTAACTAATGAAGTTTCTTTTTCTTTTCTTTTTTTATTACTATCCTTGCACATAAATATAATAATATATAATAATAATAATAATAAAAATAAATAAATGAATAAATTACAAATTACTAAAGATCCCATCGTGCAGAATGGCTGGATGAACAAGAAATAGTAACAACGGTAATGGTGATGGAGCGTCTGATGGCGATGTTGCTCAAATTATACACGCAATTGCTGATAGGGTAGGCAATATACCACCTTGAAACTAAGATCAAAGCAAATCTAAAATGATAGCAAAATTTGAAAAGCTACATCCCCACT